TGCAAGGACAATGGTGCAATCGAAGGAGCACTGACAAGAATCCTTTCCCCTTTGGATCAAAGGAGGTTGTTTTAAAGGGAAAACATGCCCAGTCGAAGCTTGTGTGCAGCAAACAAGCAAAAGACCAAGGCTTCAATCGAAGCTTGGAAATTTAAGGCAAACTTAGAGGAGGTTAGGCGCTCAACCGAAGCCTGTCCAAATACCAATCGAAAGGCGTTTTAACATGTCAATCGAAGGATTTTGTCAAAATGCCAATCGAAGACTCCTTGTTTATCTTCAAAACAAAATTTATTTTTCCTTTAATCAAATTCTTGTGATCACCATGTAAGAGAAAGGTCTTGGGAAAATATGAGAGGGCAAATTTTAGGGTACAACAGTAAGAAAATGCATAACACTACGACTAAGTTTTAGTGGTAGAAAAGTTGCAGGAAACAAAGGGTTTATGAGCAAGAAGCAAAAGTGAAATAGAAGAAGAAAAGAAGTAATATTGGTCTAAAGAGGCTATTTAAAGAAAATTAGACCTACGGATCACGAAAAGGTGGCGTTGATCCAACGATGACAAACCAGAGAAGTGGAAAAATTAATGGGGTTTGTTTGAAAACCCACGCCCTAAAACCTAGGAGTAATCATGAAAAATGATTGGTTGATATGTGAAACTGTTGCGTAGAAAGTAGTCATGATTATGCATGACGTCATTTTGAGGAGACACGCGGTCAAAAACTTGGAAGAGAAAACGCCAAAGTTCTCCCGTCGACAGAGGCTCCGTCAAACGTGGCATTTTGGGGGGCAATTTATAGACAAGCAATTTTCGACTAGGAAAATAAGCCCTCAAGCTGTAAGGTATCTTTGTCTAGAAAGGCATGTTTTCATAAAGAACAAATGGGATGCGTCGATCAAGGCAAAGAAGAATTTAACCAGGAGGGTTGGTCGACGAAGACACCACTTTCTGAGGTATTCTCGACAGATGTAAATGTCGACAGGCAATGATAAGTGGAGGCAAGAGCAGTTATCAACTCACAAGCCAGCAAGAACATGAGGATGTTTCAAAGCAGTTATGGTCATTTATCCATGAGTCCCAACATGGGACTAGTAACCGTCGACGATTAGACTTTTTAAAATTTCTATTTAAGAAAATGTTTGTATTTGTGTTAGAGGTCGTATTTCTTCACATTTAGAGTATTACACTCAAAGTACTCGCATCTAAGAGAGAAACAAGTTCAGGCTTGACAATGTATGAATGCTTCCATATTTCAATTCAAAGTAATTTCCAGTTTTCACTTTAAGTTACAAGTATTATCATTTATTTTCTTTACTTTGCGATTATCCTTTTACTTTTGCCTTCTTATACCTAAGAATCATATATCAACCAGTTTCAAACCAAAACACTCAAAACACTAAGTCTAAGATTATTGTAGCCGATCCTGCAAGTAATCTTTAATAAGAGGCTAGAGATTGTTCGCGAGAAAAAAAACACCAACATATTTAATACCCAATCCTCCATTATCACGGGACTTGCAAACGTTACTCTAACTAACCCAATGAATGGATCTTTTATCCTATTTCCCATTCCATAAGAAGTTGCTTTGAATTTGACGAATTTCTTGCAAAACTTTAGTATGTGCTTTGTAAAAGGATAAAAATATATAGGAATAGTATTTAACACCGAATTAATCATTACTACTCTCCCCGCAAAGGATAACTTCCTACCCTTCTACAAAGCCAACCTATTTTTAACTTGGTTAATTAAATCTTTCCACATTGATAACTTCTTTGGACTATCTCCAACTTTGACATCAAAAAACTTGAATGGGAAACCATCAATATCACACGCCAAAAAGTTTGATGCAGCTTCCATAAGCCAATCTCTCACATGAATGCCATATATCTTGTTTTTGTGAAAGTTTACCTTCAACCCGGACATCATCTCAAATCCTCTAAGAATGTCCTTCATACTCACAAATTATCACTATTTCCATCCGCCATAAGAATAGTATCATTCACAAATTGCAAAATGTTAACTTCCTCATCTACATTAAAACGAAAAGCTTTATAATCACCATTATCCACCGCTTTATTCGTTAAACTTGTCAAAGCCTCCATAACCAAAACAAACAAAAAAATGGATACAGGATCCCCTTGGCGCAAACCCTTCTCAACTTTGAAATCTCTCGTTGTACTACCATTGACAATAACGGACATGGAGCTTAAAAACAAAAGCTTCTATCCATCTTATTCACATCTCCTCGAGCCACATTTTTGAAAGCAAGTATCTCAAAATTCCAACTTACACAATTGTAAGCTTTTTCAAAGTCCACTTTCAAGATCATACAACTTCTGTTCTCTCTTCTAGACATATCCAAGGCTTCATTGACCATAAGAACATCGTCTGCCATATTCCTACCCGGAACAAACGTGGATTGGTTATCCGACATCAAACTTCTTATTACCTTCTTCAATCTCGCAACTAACACTTTAGATAAGATCTTTTGCAAACTCCTCACTAAGCAAATAGGTCTATACTCTAAAAGAGATTGCGGATTTGAATCTTAGGAATAAGTTATAAAGGAGGAGGTGTACACTTTGGTTAGGAATGCGTACTTGTGAAAATCTGCCATGAAGTTAATTACCTCCTTCTTTAGAAGCTCCCAATTCTTCTTGAAAAATTCAATGGAATAGCCATCCGGACCTACACTTTTATTGGCTTCACAAGACCACACCGCATCCCTAATTTCATCTTCAGAGAAAGACCTTTCCAACCACAACTTATCGCTTTCACTTAGATGTTTAAAGGAAAGATCCTCTTATACTAGTCTACGAAAGTCACTTTCTTTGAGGAAAGCTTCAAAATGAGCCTTCACGACCTCCTTGATTCCCTCTGGCCTCTCAATCCTTCCATTCTTCCCTTCCACCATTGAGATGGCATTTCTCTTATATCTATCTTTCAAGGAGTTGTGAAAAAACTGTGTATTCCTATCACTTTCCTTCGACCACAATTGTCTAGATTTCAATCTAAACATGTTTTCTTTTAGATTTAAGGAATCACACATCTCACCCGCCACTATGCTTGTATCGTTAACTATCTCCTCATTATTACCACCAAAATGATCCACCAAAAAGCAATCTAAAACATTCATCTCCTTCACCTTGTCACTCACGCTTAAATCTATCCACCCAAATACATTACAATTCCATTCTTTTAAACGAAGTTTAAATCTTTTGAGCTTCTCATTCAAGACAAAATCTCCTCTCCCCACCATTGAAATCTTTGGCCAGTCCTCTTGAATGAAAGAGATGAAACTTTCATGTTTGAACCAAGCATTATTGAACCGAAACGGTTTTAGACCCCAGTCAATTTTACCCGAGTTAAGCGTAACGGGACAATGATCCGAGATGTCTCTATTTCCCACTCTTTAATTAAAAATATTTCAATCCTCAATTAAGCTTATTAGATAACAAGAATCTATCAAGCCTACTCATAGCCTTTCCATTTTCTATAAACCACGTGAATCTTTCCCCTACACAATAGACGTCTACCAAATCCATATCCTGGATGAATCCTCTAAAATCAACCATATTTCTTCCTATGTGATCTTCCCCAACCCCCCCAATCTTTCTTTCCTTGAGCACACCTCATGGAAATCCCCTCCTAGGCACCCATCTTCATCCCCACCACGTCTCTTTCTCTCTAACAAACTACTCCACAAAACACTCCTTAATGATGCATTACGCGGTGCATAAATATTAACGAAATTACACACCTTGCCATTCCAACTACCATTGACACCAACGTACCCTGGCCCAAAAAAACTGTAATTAAGATTAAGTAAATTGCGCTTCCACAGAATTGCCATACCACCGGACGCCCCTATAGAAATAGTGACAGTCCACTCAACCTCATTGTTTCCCCAAAATGACCTGGCAGTAGCATCAACAAAACTAGTTAATTTAGTTTCCTGAGTGAAACAGAGATCGGTTTTACCAGAATTGATTAAAAAGCTGAACCTCTTCCTCTTCATGCTTGAACCTCCCCTTTTAATGTTGTAAGATAGGATATTCATTACAACAATCTGTTTGGAACCGCCTTCTTTCCTTTAGCTGCTTCCTTATCTTTGTTCTCCAACTTCTCTGTCACCGATTGTGTATCATTAGTGCTATCTTCCATCTCTTTCTCATTGCTAGCCCTCTCCTTATCACTATCCTCCTCTGCATTGAAACCAGTGTCAGCATCTTCATCATCTTCTTCACCTGACCTAGAATCTGTTGTGCTCATATCCTCCGTTTCATCTTCAGTAACTTCAAGGATGCTGAGTAAAACTTTCGACTCAAACATTTCTTCCGCTAAAATATAATGGTAAAATGGCTCTTGGTTCGATACTTAGTTGGCTTTCGTTATGATATTACTTGTAACGATTTGATACACTTGCAAAATTGACATAAAAAAACCTAAGTCAATTTGTATCTAAATATCTAATCCTTCATTACACATATGCAACTCGCTCATTTACTTCCTATGCAAAAAAAAACACCCAAATGGCCAATGTTTTCACCAAATCATTTCCATAAAATTCAGAAGGGTCAATGAGGAATACAACCGACATAGTGTTTAGTCACGTAGAATCGTATCTTTCTATAAATAGAAAATGTGTATATTTTTTTCAACCTTTCTTTGAAATTTTCCATATCTTTGACAAACACTAGATTACAGAGACGCGTGATGTCCGAGTTTTTACGGCATGTTGACTATACGAGAATTGTCCCATCTTGGGTCGTAAGTCATCACATGTAAATTAGCATGTGCAATGGAATTGAACAAACAAGCTAAATTGTGTTCGTTAAGATTTAAGCAATAGTTTCTATACAGTCACAAATCATGAAAACACCCATTGCTTTCAATTTTGAAAGCAGTGAGTAAAGAATCATCTAACTGTACTCCTACCATTACCAACCAAGTGCCATACCCTCTACAACTGTCATCAACTCTTTAACTTAAGCTAGTCAAGTTACATGTTTCCAAGAGTAACAACCGTGCCGGAAACAAACAAGAACATTACAAATAGTTGCATATGTTGAGATGCAACAAGCCTACTGAACCTTTTCAAGGACTTTCTACGTTTCTGTATAATACCTGAAAAGGGAGGCTGGTCGTGAATTATACGGACCCTTACCATAGACCTCCCATCAACAATGTCTGCATCGCTTACACGTCGCGCCACGAAAGGAGACCGTACCTTTCGTCTCAGCTCTCTCCTTGCCGCCGTGCGGATTTGGCTAAGTTCTTGACGAATCACGGTTCTAATGGATTTCAAGTATGAATTCATGTCATGATCCCTCTGTATGGTTCCTCCAAAACCGTAGGCGGATCGGTCAGCTAATATCTCGAGTGGATGCGGGGAGTTCAAGAAGAATAGTTGAGCTGCTTGGATATGGTGTTCCGTGTCACTGGATTCTGAAAGAGGGCCTGTCAAAAGGTATAGACCACTGCCTGGTGGCAGGAGATCATGGCTAGGTGAAAATTTCCCGTCTGGCTGTAGAATCAATAACTCACCCATCGGTGCATATAGTAGCTTCTGCAGTAAAAGATCCACAAAGAATTGAATTAAAGGCTGAAAAAATCATACACTTACGACTGAAGGAATTATGTCAAATAATGTCGGACTCACTTTGTTATTAAGGCAAGGATGACAGCGAAAGCTTGCATTAACGGCCTTTAATAGTTCTGTGACATGATTAGGGTACTTGCAAGAAAACGCTCGTGGTACTATGTCTCTGTGCATTGCAATTGCTTGAACATGACTCCGAGATAATCCTAGCTTTTCGAGCAGACGGTTGCCTCCACACATGATTGATGGGGAACCAAAAGTTACCACAGGAAGCAAAGAAGAAACTGGCACTTCCTTCCTTATCAACAGCATAAGATTTACAAGTAATGCCAAGCTTCCTCCCAGAGAATGGCCAGTGAAACGGAAAGTTGCTCGAGAGCCTTGAGATTTTAGGTGAACATGAACCTCAGGTAACATCTGCTGATATGTCATTTTTGCAGCCTCATATATGCCCCTATGGACAAGGACATCAAGCTCCTAACGAAAAAATAAGTATCTCTTTGTATCAATTTCACAAAAGGAAACCCTTTAATAAGAGGAATCACAAATTGAACTGCAATAGTAAGTAACAATTACCTCAAATTGAACTGGCTCAAAAAGTAGGTTTGCCTGCCAGGACTCAAATGATTCTGAACCCTGCATATCAAAACATTAATTAGTTGGATAGCATACCCCAAATAAATCCAAATTTGCTATAACTTTTAATGCTAACTCATTAACATTTTATATGAATTACCATGCAGCTTCAAGAAATAAATATATGTTATATTGCAATGCAGCTTCAAGAAATAAATATATGTTATATTGCATGATAAAAACATATCTCGAACTAATTTTCTCCACCTGAATAACAAAATATCTTGTAGAACTCTGGTCATCGTCACATATGTACCATTCACATGGTGTAGAACTTGTTGAATTCAAATCACCGGCAAAAGCTTGTTTTACTTCCTCATCTGCAACAATTACTGCTGACATTGAATCAGTTGTTGCCATCAAAGAACCAGCATTTGTGTTTATCACGTTCACAGTATCAACGCTCCTTCTTCTTGCTTCAAGTGACCCTTCAACCAGCGAAATCTGACAAGCAGAAGATGCATTTATCATCGACTCATCATTTTTTTCTCCGGCTTCTTTTTCACTGGTCTCTTCTTTCTGAATTGCTTCAGATGCCAGATTTTTATCAGCTGTTGCAGCCAGTTCCCTTTTCTCTATTGATGAAGTTACAAATCGAAGACCACGTCTTTTCAAGAGGTTTCCTGACTAAATTAACAAAGCCAAAATACAAATTAGCAGCACAAACACAATTTAAGGTAAACACATTCCTAATCTACATTTTACCATTCAACTGAATTCCAATCAGGTCACAAATTAGGCACTATCAAACACAAAATCTTAAAGTAATGCGCTGCCAACAAATCCTCAGGTTAGCTACAAAACACTGAACACAAACACATATATTAGATACGACCCAATAGAACATTGAAGCTGACAGGAAGACACTAGTAATAATTTGATAAAATGAACATAATTGTAAGCATGCGTTTATGTGTCGTTTTTGGTAGTAATATTAAAGGTCTCATGTCAAACACATGAGACACGCGCCTTCAATTTGGTATATTAGTGCCTCATCCATGCTAAACTACAAAGGGTATTTGAAAAAATATAGAAGTTTGTCTATATAAATCTTACTAACAAAGCAGTATTTCAATCCAACCATCAATCAGGTCACAAATCAGACACAATATGAAACAAAAAAATGCAATTCCAACAAAGCCTAAAATATTAGTTGAGAAGCAAACACAGATATTAAATACGATACTGATCTTAGATACAAATTTAAAATTGACAACTAAATGCTGATACTAATTTCATAAACTAGATGCAAATGTAATTAATAAATCAATTAAATAAGACTTCATGTGCCGATATTACTTTCTTACATCACGTATCAGACGCACACGCACCTTTAAATATCGGTAGATTAGCGTCACATCAATGCAAATCACAAAATTACTATACATAAAAGAAAATGAAGAAAACAAACCTTGATATTAGGAATAGAGTATGCCAAATTCCCCAAGTGACACAGGTGCGCATACATTCTTGCTTCAACTAGGGTTACCCTTCGAAGCATTCTCGAAAAAGACTCTCTATCAAACGAAACTTCGTCTTGATCTTCATCAACACTACAAACACCACAGTCTTCATCGTCATCATCGTCACTCTCTTGTTCTCCTCTCCAAACAGAATTCAGTTCAAAAACCTTGAAAATCCAGTTGGCATTCTTCCCCTCTCCTTCCGTCTCCGCAACAACCACATTCTCTGCCATAACAGAATCGTCGACGATGCCGAGGCCGTTGTTTCCGCCGGAATTCTCGATGAGTCGGGAGTTCAGAGATTTTCGAAATGGAAAGGAGAATCTCGAAAGCAGGTGGTTGTTGCCACGTGAAGTAGTAGTTGCAGTAAAAGCAGTGACAGAAGGAACTATCCCAGAAATTCGAGTATGTAAATACGTATCCATTTATTATACGAGTTAGGAATATGATTATGGAATCTTAGAACATAAACAAATAGAGAAATATATACCATCAGTTATGTGATAATCTCAAGGTGGTGGTGGTGGTGGTGGTGATAACGTACAAAGTTCGAATTTTCGAATTCTGAAATGAAAAGAGAGTTTTAGGGAGAGAGAGATTTACACGTGGGTGTTGTTGAAAATTTTACGTTTCGTTTTCAAAGTTTCGTAACGAGAGTGTGCATGGGTTCATTGAACCAGTGACGTGTCCGTAAAGCATAAAGCTATAGTGTCATTCCTATCATTTTGGGAAACTGTTACTTTTATTTCGTTGAAGGAAACAGAGTAGTAGGGAAGGGACTCGAGTATTCATGGTCAATAAAAAATCTTCAAAATCAGCAAACATGTACAATGTCAATGGATGTGGATGGAATATGGTCCTCATGGAAACTCATCGCTTTATTATTTGACCAATGGTGCAATATAGCGGCTTAATTGGCCTCTACAATTTTTATTTTTTTTAAATAAACTCTTAGATATCCATGAGATTTACTTCAATACGGATATTTTTAAAATTTTGATTTAACTTAAAATAAATTATTATAAATAATTGGCATGCTATCAGAGAAGTGGATGATGATGGGTAAGTAGTACTAATATTTACTAGTTTTTTAAAATAAATAAATTAAAAATTTTAATAATTTTATTTTCGTTATTGGTTTTTTGTTTTGGACCGGCAGAAGAGTCAACGACCGTGATACCAAAAAAAAATGATTCGTCCACAGGGTAAGAGTATATACTGGAAAGAGCATATGAGATTTAGGCCCAAGATACATCCAATAGCTTTGGGCATCCTATGTTTGAAAAATATCATGTTGTTTTAACCACTCCACTAAATGAAAGAAAAGTGTGTTATTCTTCAAGTATGCAATTCAAATTTGAACTTTTAATCATGTATTTGATTCATTTAATTCTAATATTTCTTTGAGGTCATTTCTTCTAATTTTTATCATTACTAATATCTAAATAACTTAGAAAAAATAATATATTATTTTATAGGTTAGTCTCACTAACAATGTTTAGTTTATTTTTCTAAAAAAAATAATAAGTGTAAAAATTAATTTTATGATTTTTGTAATAGGTTTTATAAATAATATAGATAGTAATTATCTAGGTATTTTTATATATGTAAACTAATATGCTCATATTTATAAAAAGATTTTTTAAAAAAAATATCTAATCATGGGCTACTCTTTATTTTTATTCTTAAATAAAAAACTTTTTAATATATTATTTAGGTTAAAATTTATATTTTTGTCTCAAATTTTGTTTCCATTTACTTGTATAAAAATTATTTTTAAAATAATTAATATTCTATTTTACTCTTTTTATTATTATTTATTTTTATTATTATTCACATTATTATTATTATAAGTTGACTCTAGGGTCATGTATCAATTATTGTTTTTATTATTGTATTATTCATTTCTTTTATTATTTATTATTAAATTGTTTGAGAAGGTTGACCGAAGTCAATCAAGAGTTTGAAACCTTAATCTCAGTTGCGCCCAGTTCTTGTCCTTCCTTTCTAAGTTAGTTCAGTGGCACAAATTCCAGATTTTTGAATCAAATCTTTTTGAAATCAAAGGTTGATAAAGATTTCATTGATGGTTTATATATATATATATATATATATATATATATATATATATATAGAAATTAGTTCAGATACATGAATAAAAAATCTTAATTCTAATTTCTAACTAAATCTATCCTAATTTACAATTACATATCAATTATAAATCAATCAAATCTCAATCAAACTTGTAACAGTAAATCAATAATAAACTAATTCCTAATTGATCAAAAACCTTAGTCATTATATTGCAAAACCTAAAACCTAATTGAGGACGGAGAAATGGAAGAAGAAATTAGAGAGCAGAAACCCTAAGTAACCCTTGGTGTCCTTGCTGCAAAGTCCTCGTCTTCAATACCTGCAAAACAGAACAAAGAAAAGGTTTAGAAGTCAGAGATTGAAAGCGAATCAAAGGGAAATTGCGAGGAGTATCATTGCATGAGAGGTTGGTAATCACTTAGCTTGCTATAATTTTGTTGTAATCGTTGTTGTTGATTGATTGCTGGCATTTGATTTGATTTCTGAATTGTTTTTAGGGTTAGGGTTCTTCATTTTGGGGGTTAGGGTTCTTAGGGTTCCAAGGGTTATGTTATGGTTCACGGGGTTTCTGGAAAATATGATGAGGTTCTCAACGAACCTTCATCATTAATGACGGTCTTGACGACCACTCACGACGGTTGCTCCTAGGGTTCTTGGCTAGGGTTAGGGTTCATCATCGTATGCTTAGGGTTTTAAGAATTCTGGGTTGGGGAGGATGAAGGTTTGGTGTTTTCGGTTGATCTTCAACCGGAATTTTGGGTTTCAAGGTGGTTGATGGGTTAAAGGAGGAGGCGCTGCCGGCGAAAGTGATTTCTAGAGGGCCAAGGTTTTGTCTCGTTTGGGAGTAGAGAGAGAGAGAGAGAGAGAGAGAGAGAGAGAGAGAGAGAGAGAGAGAGAGAGAGAGAGAGAGAGAGAGAGAGAGAGAGAGAGAGAGAGAGAGAGAGAGAGAGAGAGAGAGAGAGAGAGAGAGAGAGAAAAGAGGAAAATGAAGATTTTGTGAACATTTTTTGTTAAATACTCCCTCTATCATGCTCCAGATCAGCGACGTGTGGTCATCCACTGGCCACGCGATGAGGTGACTGTTGACCAGTCTTCCTACGCGCTAGCATACCATATTCCCCCAGTCAACATGTGATCTCAACTCTCCATTTGGCATACTTTTGATCAACGTCCAACTTCTAGTGACCTTCTGATCAGAATCAAACATCGCATATCTTGCGCGCCCACCATAAGATCATATATCATCCACACAGCGCCTAGCGGATCTAAAGAAAAAAGTAGAGTTTTAATCCTTATAAAATTACTTTTGCATGCAATTTTAGTCCATCTACAAGGACTAAAACTGTGTGCAAAAGTAATTTTATAGGGACTAAAACTGGACTTTTTTTATAGGGACTAAACGCTAAAATTGAGATATTTATAGAGACTAAAAACATATTTAACCTTTAATTATTACTAATTAAAATACCATTTTATTTATTTATTTTCTAATTTATTTTCCTAAATTACTAACCAGAATTTTCTCAAACATTAATTACTTTTTTTATTTTTAATAAAACATGTTTACTAACTTCTATATCAATTTTTATTTACTTATTCAATTATGTATTTTTCACTTCTATTTCAAACTCGAATTAAATTTAAAACAACTAATCAATTACAAACTTTTTTTGCTAAAATAATAAAACTCAAAAAAAAATTCAATAAAGGATTGTCAAAATTGCTTTCAAATCAAATTCAAAATGCGTCTACCATCACTCAATCTTCAAAACCAGATAAAGTTTGAAAATCATTCAAAAGCAATTTTACACAGTCCTATAAAAACACTAACCAAACACTTCAAACTACGAAGGACTCTGATTTCTTCTTAAGAAGATACGTAGGCACACGCAGTGGCGGAGCCAGAAAAATTATGAAGCCTGGGCAAGTTTTCATTAGCTTCATAATTTTCTACCAAGACAGTACAATGCTAATCCCAAAGGAATTATTTCCTTGAATTGCAATTATCTCTTCAATTTTGTAAGATTTCGGATTTTATAATATATACATGTTAAAATTTCGGATTCTATAATATATACATGTTACAGTATTTCAGGTGTGCTCACAAAATGAACAAACCTATAAAAGCCGAGAAAATTAGTTCAACACGCTCATTTGTGTGAAATTAAGTACTGCCTAAAAACACCGCTATCAATTCAAATTTCAAATAATGTTGTCAAATACAGATCGACGAAGTGGTGGTTTGTTAAAATTACGGTATGCTACAATGTTGTAGAGCCACTATTTGAGAACACATTATACTAAGTAGCATAACAAAAAACAATAGGGATGTGATCAAATTCCACTACACTATAGTACAATAGCTATAACTGCTATTTAACAACAATGATTCCAAGATATGCCAATCTAAGTTATCAACAAATAAAAAATTATGATAACAAGCCATACCTTTCAATAGTTCCTCTGGAAAACCATGTGGCATCGCTTTCGTGCTCAGGCACAAGAACAATTGAATAACCAACCTTCGCCATTTGATCTTGAGCAACCTTCAAGTGGCAGTGAAAGGGGTTGAACAAACCTGAAGCTATTTTCTCCTTCTTTCCATTCACAGTAATGACCAAATCAAACCTAATTTACACAAGAGCACAAAATCACTTGACCAATTAACTCACATAGATTAATCAGTGACATAAAAATCATATCATATGTATAAACAAAATATAGTTCCTTCAGTAAGTTTTCTCATTTCTTAAACTCAATTTCTATAACTGCATGTAGCAACTACATACATTCTCCCAATAAAACTGTACTCAATTTCTATAAAGGTTTTATTTTCATAAAATATTGAATATGATAGTTAAGCTTCATGGAAGGTAGAGGTGGTTTCACCATCTACTCAAATCATTATGATATCATATAGTTTCAATCTAAATAAAATAAAATTAAAAAGCATATGAATGAATAGAAAGAACAAGAGTCAGAAAAAAAGAAGAGGAAAATAGTATGTCGAACCGATTAGTGCTTCAATATAATAAACTAAAACTAATTGAGAAAGAGAGGAGGAAGGAGTCTGTCGCCGTCGCGGAGAAGGGATTGGTGGTGCTGCAGTTAGGTTTACTTTTGTTTTTGCCCTTTTTTTTCTTTTTTTTCCCCTTTGAATTTTTTGCCTTTTTTATTTTTTAATTAAAATAAATTTGGGCCAGACTAAAGAGCCTGGGCAGTTGCCCAGGGTAGCCGCATGCTAAAACCGCCTATGGGCACACGGTTGAAAAACCAAGGCGAGTCCACTAACTAAAAGACTAAATCTTTTCCTTTGTTTTAGTAATATGAG